GAGTGGAGGTGGGGATGGCAGCTAGATCTTCTGCTGTGGAGAGAGAGGGAGAGATATTAGCACGCCCAGAGAGCGAGCGAGTAGTGGAGGCATGATCATGGCCTCGATGGATCGGGCAGCAATTGCAGGCAGCAGCGATCAGAGCAGAATTTGGCTGGCCAAAGCACCCCTAACAGCACAGCAGGATCTGTCACCGCTATTCAGATTGGGCAGGACGCTGCGGGACATACCAACATGGGGGAAAACACGGCAGCATCCTCCTCCGCCTCCTCTACCTCAGGCTGCGATTCCTGCCCCTCCTCCTGCTGCAGACACATGGGGGTTAGTAGGAGCGATGGAGCGGGGTGGGGTGTTAGTTGTGGGAGCCCAGTTCTCTCCTCCACCTGCCAGCCAGGACAGTGAGGTGTCATCTCCTACGCCCGAGTCCCACTGACTCTTCCTTCAATAGGAAGAGCTGCTCACCATCAACGGCGCTGCCTTCACCAGCTCCATATCTCCAAGGTCACCAGATCGGTCCAGTGTCCTGCTGTGGTCCCTCTCATTGAGTGTGGAATAGTTGTCTGGAGCAGGAGAGGGGACAGTCAGTCATGTAACCTCCATGGGAGGCAGCATCATCCCCATAGGAGATGTGAGCTCTGCCCCCTCCCAGCATACCAAGGAGGCAAGACGCCCCCCTTCCAGTCCCTCTCCTACCTGGTCCCATGTTGCTCATCTGGATCTCCTCCCGGGAAGATTTCTTGTCTACAAGCATGAGAGAGCAGCAGATAAGACACAGCCCCTGCAGCCATGAGCAGGCAGAGGAACTGCTGCCTACCCCTCCTAGAGGAGCCCAGACATAGCTGCAGCTGCAGCACTGTTGACCCAAGGATGCTACAGTACCTATGTTAACTGCAGGCATCATTTCCAGCCCTGAGAAGCCATCTAAAGCCCAAATTGATGGCCTTGTGTGAGCAACAGTGGCTGCCAAGAAAGCCAGGGCTGAAGAGCAGGGAGGGGACAAAGGCCAGCTGTTCTGGGTACCCACAAGGCGGAAGGATGGCAATGGTGCTGAAGGGAAGGCACATACCTGTTTTTTGGTTCCTGTCGATGAGAGGCAAGGTGCTGTCATCAAACGAATTGCCTCCCTGGGTCCGAGAGGCATTGCTCAGGTTCACCTGGAGTATCAGACAGTGACCACTCACACCCTGGCCCAGACACTCCTTCCCCATCAGGATATCCCACCCCTCCAGCCCTCAAGACCGGGACAGACCCAGTAACCCTCCCACAGCCCTTGAGCAAGGGCCCTGAAGCAACCAGAGGGTCCTCCAGAGCCCATGGTTGCACCCACATTAGAGTGGAGGTGGCCTGCCTGGACTGGGTCGGGGCAGCACCCAGCCCTTAAGTAAGGGCAGTCCCAGCTTTTGGGGAAAAGAAACCAGCCCTGGAGAACCTTGTTCTTCAGCACTGCCACAATGGCTTTTAGTACTGCAAACTTTCCTGCCTGCAGATCTGCACGCTTATGTGTGGGACACAGGGCTTAAGGCTTTACAGAGTGTTTCTTCCTTAGTAGAGACTTCCTGCCAGCCATCCACTGAGAAATGGCAGAGGGGAAACCTTCAAAGGTCTCCAATCCCACCAGTAAGGTAAGAGCTGAAATCCAGTACTGCTGAGCACCAGGAACACCGTTCTCCCTGCTGCAGGACCCTACCTACTGCCCCAGCCACAACAGGGCATCCCCATTCCCCCATCCCCATACCTGGAAATCCGACTTCTTCCAGCCTTCCTTCTCCAGGGGCTTCCGCAGCTCTTTATATCCCCAGACTGACTGCAAGACAAGGGCGGCTGCTCGGACTTCTCTCTCTGAGCGGTTCCTAGAAAGAGGTGAAGAAAGAGATGTTTGAAAATACCCATGGCCTTGAGGAAGCTCCTGGAGAAGCCCTTCTCTGCCTCTTGCATTACCCTTCAAGCAGCACCTACCCAGATTTGTTGATCAGCACCAACTTCTCAATCCCCTGCGTTTCCCGCAGCTTCTTGGCAGCCTCAAGGTTGTCTACAATTACTTCATTGATGGTGTTGAGGATTGACACCACTGTGTCCTCAGAGAGGTTTTTGGCTGGGGTCTGCTGGCCTCCAGGCAGGTTCTTCACTAGGTTGGGGATGGCATGTTTACCTGGGAAGGGGAAAGAGCTGGGCATGAGCAAGCGAGGAAGAGAACTACAAGGAAGAAAAAAAAAAAGTCACTGCAGAAGGATCAGGGACAGCTGACCAACTTTGATGTCCCTCTCAGCAGAGGTCAGCACATACTACTCAGAGAGGAGCAGTAGACAGACGCTGGGCTGATGCCATGCCCATGCGCTTCCTCAGCTACCAAGATCAGGAGGAAGTTCCTGCCTAACCTGGATGGATACAGACAGCATGGTGTCCTCTCCTCTGCAGCCCTCACCTATCAGCTCTTTGTTACGCAAGTCGACGGCCAGGTTGCGCAAGGCTCCGGACGCTGCTTTCACGACTCGCTCGCTGTCATGGGTCAGGAGGTCAGCAATGGCGGAGAGTCCCTTCTCCTGGCGCAGCGCCGAGCGGATGTACCGGCCATACTGCAGGGGAGAGGCAGAGCACCACAATGTAACCTGGGCAGGCAGTCTCTCCCCGCTCCTGGGGCTGGGGACACCACTGGGAGCCCTGCCACCCACCCTCATCTTGGGAACTGAGGGTCCTGGCTTCACCCATGGTGAGACAGACTGCAAAGGTCCCATTCCTTTCCTGAAGCCTCCCTACAGGCCAGGCAAGCAAGATTTCCCAGATGGTCTTTCCATACACACCAGGAGAATGCAGGTCAAGGGGCTGTAGAGCGGCCCCAAACCTTCATCCCCTGCCCCCAGCCTACAGAAGGGAAGGAATGTCAGGGAGCCGGCTGCAAGCAGCAACGCAGACAGGCAGCCCTTGTGAAGACACACCTGGCAGGGAGCACAGCGCCCTTAACAGCGCAGGAGAGACCTGGTCCACACACAAACTGTGTGCTGCTGAACAGTATCTTCTTGGGCAGTGAGCCATGCACAAAGTGAACAGCCTGAAACAGCAGAGCCTTGGCCAACTACAGCTCTGCTGGTACCCCAAGGGTGATGCTCCCTGCTCCCCAAGGCCCCCTTCCCTGCAACCCAGATGAATGTGGACATGGCCAGCTCCACAAGGCACTCACCGTCCAACTGCCAGCGCACTTGCTGAAGCCTCTAGGATGGCTGGAGTCTTGCTTTCCTTTAGAAGGGAGATGTATATCCGGACCACTTCTGGCTGGAAGAGGAGCTCGTAGCCTGCCAGAAGAACACAGGTAGGAAGGACTTACTTAAGGGCTCTGCTAGCATCTGACTCATTCAAAGGAGCACTGCTGGGCAGACAAGGCTGGAAGCTTTTACCCAGGCTCACTGCTCCCTGGAGGCTGGATCCTTGGTACAGAGGGGGCCAGGCTGCCCACAGTACCAGAAACCCCAGCCCCCAGCACCAGCCCCGATCAAGGATGCCATGGCTGCTGCCCACAGTTCCCCATGCACAGCTGCAGCTCAGGAGAGGTTTGGGCTGAGCCGCAGCAAGGAGACCTCAATTTCAGTACAACGCCTGGCTGAGAAATACCCAACCCAGGCAAGGGCACATGGTGAGGCACCAAACTTGGCAGCTGGCCGCTGTGGTAGCAAAAGACTCAGCCCACGCTCTCAGCAGGAGGAAGGGGAAACACCCCAAGCAAGTGGCCACCAACACCGCGTTGAAGAAGCTTGGGTTCAGCTCACGCTCAGGTACTGAAGGCAGCAGGTCTCCAGCTCTCCAGTACCCTAGCAAGCAGGCAGGGATCAGGCCTTCAAGTATTAATCCTTTTTCCATGGGAACATATGCCCAGAAATGACTTCTACAGCAGCGGTGAGATTGCAGTTTACAGTTGCGAGGCCAGGTTTTCCATCTTGCTCTCTATCCTCAGCTGTGGTGAGGGATGTCCCCAGCCCCCAAAGACAGAGCAGGTGGCTTCTTGGGCTTCTACCAGAGGTGGGTGCTGACTCTTCCCACAGCTCAGGTCAGTCTGAGGAGCCACTGCCACATATTTGAGCTGCTCACAAAGTCAGGTCTTTCTTAAGTTTCCTTGTGGTTCTTCTAGCTTGACTCTTCATACCTCTGGGAGCACCAGAGTCCTCCCAGGAACCACAGGGTGTTTTGGGGCAGAAGGAGCTGAACTCAAGCCCTGGGCTAATGCCCACTGCTTGGCCAGCCAGAGAGGGGCTGAGATTCACAGCCCTCTAAGCGGTGAGACACCTGCCCCCAGAGGCTTCTTGGAATGACCCTTCCTCATGCTCATGGTGGAGAACACTTTAAGGCAGGGTTTTTTGGCTTTAAATCCTGCCTGTTCTTCATGCCCAGGAGAGAAGAGCAGACAAGAGGGCAATTGTGTTGAGAAGTCTGAGACAACCAGAGAGGGCTACCCTTCCCAGGGTTGTGTCACCATGCTGTCCCTCAGTCCCTAGGGCAATAGTTCCCTCTGCAGCCCCAGGTAGCCTGTCTGGAGGCACTGGTGACCTCCAAGCACAGCAAGCATCCTCACAACTGTCTGTGGCAGAGCTAGTGTTTTAACAGGCACTTGGGCAACCAGAAACATACCTCCTCCAAACCAAACCTCTGCCCATTTGAGAGGCTCACTTCAATGGGAAATCAACTCTACTCATTTCTCTCCTGAACTGCTCGTGGAGAAGCAGCCCTGCACATCCAAGCCCTACACAAACACACTGAAGAACATACCTTTGGCTGGAGTTGTTCTTTTGGGAAAATCCACTGTATCGGCACCAGGGTCTTCTGGGAGCTTTTTACCTTCAAAGGGCAAGCAGAGAGGCATAAGACATCTCCTCTTCCCATCCATCTTGCCACTCGCTACAAGAACAAGCCCAGAGGTGAGCTGAAGCTAAGCTACCAGCATGTCCCAGAAGGGGGCGTCAAGGGCATTAGCCACGCTGCAGGCAGTACGTGCCCAACTGCGGGGGGAACAAAGAGAGCTAGAGAAAGCACCCAATCAAACCATGGAAAAATTAAAACCAAGAGTGCACTCACCTCTGGAGAACCATTCGTCTATTGGCGAAGCGGAGAGAAGGACAGGAGAGAGGGGAGGCAGGAGGAGAGAAGTGCCGACAGCATCATGGGGCAGATCATTTGGCAAGAAAGCAAAGGGAAGGGGAAGGGGCAACACAGGAGAAAAGGGAAGGTGTGGAGTTAGTGGACATCTATCCATCACCATCCCATCACCACAGAAACCCACCATTAGCTTGTGTCAAATCCTTTGGGTAAGCCAAGCAGTAGCTCCCAAAGCCAGGGGAGGCATGGACCACTGCGTCTCCAGAGAAAGCTGCAGTTTAGCCTTCACTCAAGAGATGCCAGACAGGAGCACAGAGATCCCAGACCACCCTCAAAGTCCACTGTAGTAGATCTGTCTTTATCCCACTTCCCTCCATGCTGCTGCCACCCAACGAACCTTTGCCCTTCTTGGCACCAAAGCAGCTCGCAGCATGGGGCCCAGCGTTGTTGGCAGGGGCCAGAGGTGTCTCCTGGTAGCGCTCGGCATAGGGGATCTCACGGTGGACTTGGTAGGACAAGTTTCTCAGCAGACACACACAGTTTTCCACCAGCTAGAGAGAAAGCCAGATAGTTTGACTTGGAGCCGCACATGCCCATCCCATGTCTCTGAGCAAGGGCCCCATCACAGCTTGCAACCCAGAGCCAGGCCAAGGGGGACATGCAGCTCCATCTCAGATGGAGCTGGAGCATACCCCCATTCCCAAAGCAGGCATGGCCAGCTCTGCTGGCATGAGTTCATACTCTGCTGGGCCAAAAATCTCCCTGCCATAAGCATGAAAGGTCCAAGGAAAACCTCAAGAAAAGTTCAGGCCAATGCCTCATCAAGGCAGGATGAGGCTCTCATCAGGGAGCCCTGAGCCAGTGGATACCGGCATGGGGATGAGTGACACCACTAGACCCCTGCTGGAGGGCCAGCGGTCCTACTGCAAACTGCAGGCCGAGTGCCAGATACCTCCTGGTCAAACAGCACCCAGGGCACACCCCACACAGGCACTCTCTTCCCAAGTGGAGACTGTGGACAGGCGTGAGCCTGCACTGGGTTTTCCCAAGCTAGTCCTGTCAGACCAAATCTCTCCCTGGTGAAGATTCCCTCAGTCCATTCTTCGTCCGCCTTGGGATGAACCCAGCTTCAGCCACCATGAACAGCAGAGCACTGCTAGAGCTGGTTGACAAGGGCAGAGCTCTACATGTGCCCCAACAACACCCCCACTGTAGTACCTTGCTGTCTGAGTCCTTCTGGCCGATCTCGGATTGGACAATGTAGATCAGGGCATCCACCAGCCCATCACATTCCCGCAGCTTCCGACGGGCCTCGCTCCGCTCTGAGCTCACATTCCTGCCACACAGGACAGAACCGTCATGGGAGAGGCAGCTGAGGACAGGTGAGGAACAGCCCACACCCAGCAGAGCTCAAACCAGAGAGACTCCTGTAGCTCCCCTCCACTGAGAGAAACACCTCCAAAATCATAGAACCATAGAATAGTTTGGGTTAGAAAGGACCTTTAAAGGTCATCTAGTCCAACCCCTCTGCCGTGGGCAGGGACATCTTCAACGAGAGCAGGTTGCTCAGAGCCCCGTCCAACCTGACCTTGAACCTTTCCAGGAACGGGGCATCT